GGGGGGGGGGGGGGGAGACAAGAGAAGAGAAAATGCCGTGTTCGCTATGACTGATTAAAGATATAAGTATTACATTCCGCGTTTACGATTTAAAAAAATATAGATTATATATATATATATATGTATATATATGCATATGTATATATATATATATATATATACATACATACATATATATTATAACGCTTGTATCACACGAGAGTTATATAAATAGTAATCGTTATGTAAGTAGATCTGGTCGAAACTTTTGAGAGAACACTTTTGTCGGCGAGGAATCGCTGATTCGTCACGGTTAATTGGATGATTGACTATTCGGGTGAGGGTATCGGACGACACGACGATGATTCTACCTACCTACCAGTTCGCTTCTTGAAACCTGTCCACGGAACGAGGCCTCTTCGTCGTTCATATACTCGTGTATCCTTGCGACAATAATCGACAAAAACGAACCGAGGATTGCAATTGATGTATGAATCGTCGTCAGTCTTAGGACGGGGCGCTGTTCGCGCTCCAATCGCGTGCAGCTAAAGCGATCTCGAGGGGGAACGATCGCTACGTCTCGGCGTTCGTGCGAAAACGAATATTAACCGATAATATAAAATTCTCCCGAGATATATTTTTTATACATATATCATTCTCGTTCCTCTCTTTCTGACACTCATGTATCCTTTCAGCATGCCATAATTTTGATACGGTTTAAAGGTTTAGATTTATTCACCGCGCGCCAGGTCGTTGTCACATTACACAGGATGTCCCAGTTACTTTCAGCCTGCGCATTGTTGCGGCATCCCATTGTTTCGCGTAACAACGACCTAGCCGCCGCCGTCGCTTCGAAGTGATATGACGCGTATTTTCACGTAGTACTTAGTAGCGAACGATGCATTTAATCACACAAGCGGGACCATCGGTGTACTTAATTAAGCAGCGTAAAACTGCGTTCGTTGCAACGCGGGGAGGAGGTAACCGGCCTCATTAACTGGCTCGATTCTATGTTGCGTTCCCGCAGTAAGCCTAAACACACTTGTATATCTAATATGTTACTGATAATATTTAACATTATTGCAACGTGTTTGATTGAATATTTTATTGTATTTAATGTCGAGAGAAGCCAACGAGACATATACTATAATTTCAAAGCTAATATATCTACATTCATATATCGTAGTGAATTATTATATATCGATACCCTGATGTATTCCGTCCTAAAAGTGTTTACACTCGATGTTATGTTACAGCTCTTTTTTGCTTCTTTTTTTATTTTAATAAAGTGATGAGTACGATATGTTAAATACGAGTCGATCCAATCCCTTGCCCCCCCCCCCCCCCCCCCCCC